AGGTAAGAGAAAAAGTATTTCCTTTGAAAAATAGGCATGGGAGGTAAACAAGCAAGGCCAATAAAAAATGTCTGGACTTTATTATACCACATGCAAGTGAGGCTGGTGCTGCAGAAAGTCGTATTACCCATGAACATGAGTAACATGTTCATAGGAGTGTAAGGAGATAGACATATCTAGGGGATTAAAACCTATTTTGTACATAGCTAGGGAATTAAATGATTTACTTTGTACAGCTAGTCTTTATGGCAAATATGGTCCTCAAAACCATGGTATCTGAACATTGAGCAATATGATGAGCAATAAGTGATGTCACTAACACATACATGGGCTCCTTCCTTCTTCCCATTTCTAAGCTCTCAAAGAGCACAGATTTGTGGGAGATGGTGATTTGCGTATTTTACAACCTATTCTCTATCTTCACGTTAATAGAAGCAATGTGGAAGATGAATAGATACAATTCAAGGAGGCGGGGAAGTTTGTGATGGCTCTGTCCTATACGGCTACAGCTTCCCTAGGAACGTAAACGGCGTTGGCACATGGTCACCCCTCGCATTATGCTGTTAGGATGGTGCCGGCATGCCTGGTGCCCTGCTCATGCCAGCCTGCCCCTTCGGGGCGGTTCAGGGACTACAGGGTTCAACGGGCCAGTTGCAACAGGCAGTTTGTGAAGGAAGCAGAGGTTTCACTAGCAGAAATGTGACCAGTTCTGTGCTTTTTGGTGGTTTTAATGTCTAGGAAGCATCCCTGTGCACGTAGACATACAGCGTAAAGATCTAAGACCACTTCCATCTCCTGAACAAACAGGCTTTATTTTTTGTTGTGAGGAATCCCATTATGCCTAAGGAAATGGGCTGTTTGAGGCCATTAACCTAGAACTTGCGGCAGTGGGTTTGCTGCAGGAGTGCAGACTGCAGAGGAGGAGTATCACAACAGTTACGCCACTCACATACAGACCAAACGGGGTTATGGCATGCTCCGAAGCAGTAGTGTAGACATGTTGGATGTACCCACAACAGTCTATACTCAGGAGTACAGAGAGTAAAAAGACTTCTGCAAAACAGCAGGCATTTCTAGCACACTTAATTTTATCATTCTTTAATGTAAAGGAGGAAAAAAAGGCTAGGTATCTCCAGGGATTCTCTTCTAGAGCTTTTGTACTCATCTTGTGTCTCCTCACCCGTAACTCTTCAGCTTCACTGCATTATTGTTTGGGTTTAAAAAAAGAAAAACCTAGATTCCTCCCTTTTAATTCACTTCAGCTCTTTCCTTTTCTGATATGCATTGATCTGAGAGTAACTTCGATGATAAAACATAGTCAAAATACAGACACAAAATTTATCTTCCTCCATTATTTCAGAAAGAATGCATTAGCTAGATCTGTGTCCCATCTTCTTCAATTCCAATTTAAGAGAAAAGACTCATTTAAATACAGAACTTCACATGTTCGTGCATGCCTCAGCAGCTAAAGAAAACTACATTTGCATTGCTATGCCTATTTAATTTACTCTGTGTGTCTGTGTATATATGTGTGTGTGTATATATATACACATATATACATATGCACACATATTTTGTTCAGCCATCATTGATTTGGAGCCCCCATAACACGGACAAAACACTTGCACGTTGATCTTCGGCTCAGAGGAACCAGGTGGAGCGCATGAGTATACCTGCGAAAGTACGGAGCTACCTTATTTGAAAGGAGATCCCATGCAACCTCCGGATGACGCCGTACCAGACTGCAGTGAACCAAGTGGTAATTTGGTTTCCGTGCTAAACTTAAAGAAGGTGCCCCAATCTTACCCCTGTTTGTGGACAAAAATGCTAATTGAGAAAGAGATGATACCACCTATGCCCATTTCTATCCCCTTCAACTCCACCTTACCCCTGCAACTCCACCATTTGCACTCTTTACCTCGGTCTGTTCTCAGTGAAAATCACGGTAAGGTAAAATGCGTTGTAACAACATGGAATGTAACTGCACTAGATACTTTAGTATCAAAATTCAGCCTGTGCTCAGATACAGGATCAAATTTTCAGAATCCAGGTTTTCATCATCATGTTCCTTTTTTTCCTAGGTATTTGGATCTGCGAGTATTTGTACGCTTTTCTGTACAGCTACAATTTCCAAATGTAAAACTGAATCTTAGGGAAAAGAAAAAAAATTGAAAATGCTGATTTTTATCCCTGACATGATTTAGAACCAGGCAAGTTTCAGAACTGGTACGGTTTCTTTTTTTCCTGTCCTGCAATCCCCTGTCCACTACAATTCTGAGCACTGTAATGTTTCAAGAATCCTTGCTATAGCTTACATGACAACCCTGGAACACACCTAATGACATGCCGTGGTAAAGCTGAGAGTTTATATTATTTTATCCATGTGGTTTGAATTACAATAAAAAATTCTCTTTGATCTAAATCTGATGAAAGATTTGAAAGTAGCAAATTAACAGATTTCTCTGTAAAATTGCCCACAATATAACTTGAAAAATGATGGCATTAAATGGTTGAAAGACTAGACTATTAAGATTGTAAATTGAACTGCTCAGGAAGTTAGGAATTAAATTTAATCACATATCCAAGTCAGGGGAGCACTCCTATTGAGACAAACTGTGCAGAAGTAAGCAGATATTTCCCTGAATTGGGGCCTACGTACTGCCATGACTTTCTAAGCTGTTATGTTGATTAGATTAACAGATCCATGTATTTGTTACACATTCCACCTTCCTGGGAAGCTACTTTGACTTAACACAGCTGAAACCTCAGGGGAGCAGGGATATGCATTAGGTCCGGTGCATCTACAGGGAACGACCCTGAGAAGGGCTAGGAGGCACTACAGCGGGCTGTAGTGGCATTCCAGACCACTCACAGGAAAAAGTACTACATCTTCCTTACTTTTAAAGTTTTGAGTACACGCAATGCACTCTGACATACCAGGAAAAAAAGATGAGCGTCAAGACATACAGGCTAGTCTTTGTACGCAACTTTGGAGAAGGGAAAAGACAAATCAGGGATCAAAAGACGAGTTACTGCTGGAGCTACTTGTGACTGTGACAGCTTTCCTGAAAAGGAGTTCTCGCAGACTTTTGGGATTTTTATGCTGTGAACATCTAATACCCAGGTATGTAAAGCGCAACCCTCCGTTTATAGTCTGTAGGGACGTTCCTATCTTAGGCTGCTATGAAGCTTGCAGGTACACAAACGGCTTTTATGCTGGAATTAGACCAGAATCATCAGCGCAGAATTTGACACAAGTTAATTTACTCTGTTTCTCACATCAGTATGTCCCAGCAGAATAAATTACACTGCACAGAGCTCCGTTCCTCAGGTACTTAAAATAGCCTGGGATCTCCGTACCGCCTGCAAAGCTGACTTAGGACACATCACGGGAACTACTTACTTCAGGATAGCCGTTAGCCTCCCGAATTCTGAAAACGGGACAAAGTCTGGAGACCTGGCGACTGTAAGAGGGCTAGATCGCAGTGCCTTGCTGCTGCGAAGCACGCTATTTACCCCTCAAGCAGAGCAGCGTTTGACAGAGCAGCTACGGTGGATGCAATTGTGGCTAGCAGCAGAAACATATAATTTCCAAAGTTAAAAGCACGAATCTTCACAGCTTGGGTTAAAGAATCAAGCTGAAAACGCTCAGATTCTCACTTCTGGGG